TAGATTTGAGTATAAATCTCAAAATTTAGTGCTTTTAAAAAAATTTGAATATTTCTTGCTGTCTAGTACTATACCTCTACTTTTCTTCATCCTTAAATATATAATGTTTATAATATTTAGAATATTTAGTTATAATACCATATCTTATATTATATTAAACATTTTAATAATCAAGATTTATTAGGCATCAGCACTTGTGCCAGACTCTAACAGCTGTAAAACAACCTTTGGCCTTCTACTAATATTCTATTATATTCAAACTCAATAATTGATGGCCCTGATAAATATTCTACTAAAATCAAAATTATTTAACTTTTTAAATATCTTGGGTTGTCTATTTCACACAATCTTTTATTCCCTATACCATATACTATTACAGACTCAACTTTATTTGAATCTATACTATCTCTTTATTTTAATTATACTACCTTTAAAAAACAACTCAGATATTACTATATTATATTTTTAGAGCAGTTAATATTACTTGTCTTCCTGATTAAAAACATATCTTACTATGATTAGGCAAATTGCCTAAAGGAAGAGTACTAACTTGGTTTGTAACCTTAGAAGATTTAGTAATTAGTCGTATATGTACAAGAATACTCTACAATTACATTCAACTTTCTAGCTCTAACTACTATAGTTATACAACTAAATGATTCTCTACACAGTCAAAACCTTAAATTATAACTACATTTAATAATCAAATTATTATAAGAAAATATATTGATAGCCTACATTAAGTGGCCATGTTCTAATTACATATTGGAGCTGTTCTATTGATCCCAATTTACTCAACTCTATTTTACACCTCTAATAACTTCCAGACTATATACAAACTACTCATTAAATTTTTAACTTATTGCAAATAATTGTACTATTTTAATTCTAATTAATTTAGCTACTAAGTTCTTAGCCAAATTAATCTACATAACAAAGTACTTAACCTTAATACAAATTACTTAGATCTCTTATTTTCTATTGCTATACAATACCACCTTCAGACCTCAACAGCAACTAATATTTCAATTTCTACTTTATCTATCTCATTACTTTTTAAAAATTACTTTTTGATAAAGACCAGTGTTTATTTTTCATGTGCACAAAAGTGTGCGCACGTGTGCAGATCTAATCAAATTGCTTTATTTAAAATTTTGATTGGATCTGCACACGTGCACACATTTTTGTACACGTGAAAAATAAACACTGATAAAGACTCTACAAGCTATTGCTAACTATAATTCTAACTTACCAGAACTTTCATTTTATATAGATGGCTCAATAATACAATTAGACTTATCTCAATACTCTATGGGAATTGGATAAGCTCAAATTCAATATAGCAGAGTCCAACATACCTTTTAAATACAAATTAAACTTTGGTCATGTTCATTTAAAGCTAAACTTTTTGCAATACTTTCTGTACTCATTACAGCATCAAAAAATTGTATAATACATATCTATACAGATTCACTGTTAGTAATTTCTAAATATAACCATACTAGCCAAGACTTACTTGATTTATGATTTACAAATACTCTATATCATTTATTATAGTATACTTTAATCAATTTTATTAACTTATACAAATTACAAGTACTTTTCACAAAGTTAATGCACATCAAGATGATGAATATAATAACTTTGCTGATTAATTTGCTTAAAATTACTCTATTGTACCATTGTTAAAATTTAATTTTCAAAATATATACAATTCTATGTATACTTTTCAATTTGACGATTTTTAATTGAATTGCCTATTAAGTAATATATTTGTACAATCTTTTATGCACAAATTTATGCTCTTTGGTCATCACAAAATTGCTTTTAATAATGGACTATAATTATACCATATATTAATTGAAATGCTACTTGGTTATTTATTAATAATAATCAAAAAATAACAAACTATTCATATAGCTTTCAATTAGCTACTTTTAAATCTTTTTGAATTAAAATTTTAGTGGATGATCTACCTACTCCACACATTCTTCATAAGCATTATTTATCTTACACACCAAACTGCTATAAATGCAATTAAATTAGCACAGCACTCCACTGGCTAATTTGTCCAAATTCTCAGCATCTAGAGAATTTTATTTACAAGTCACTTTAGCATATTCTTAAACCTTCTGCTTTTGATATATCAACTGAATCTACAATGAATCTATATTCTTAAATCAAAAATCTTAACAGCATGCGAATAAACAATAATCCTAATATACCATTCTTATTTTTATTAATACTGGTTTTATCCCTCAAGACCTTATAGACTTAATTAAAGATATTACTTCATCAAACAAAACTTCAACTAAACTTGTTGTTTAATATTTACTATATTTAAATTAACAAATTTACAAAGACTGTTAGATACCATATTGTGTCTCTTGAGCAAAAACTAGTATACTAACTAATATTTTATCTATAATTTATCACATATTCTACCTACTCAATTAGCACCTTTCACTATATCGCAAATACTAAATTTGAATTATGGTATCTAAAGTAGATTAAATATCAATACAGTTTATAAAACTTAATTACCTCAGAAATCTAGATAAGCTATGGCCACTTTGGTAGGTTTAGATTGCAGATAACTCTTATGACTTTTAAGTTAGCAATGGCTCTGTTTGAATTTCTAGTCTTAGTATCTTATAGATAGAAAGTTCAAATAATATAATTTCTTTATTTAATTATTTGAAAGAAGTTTAATTAGATTTTAATAAAGATAGAAGCATGGCCTCACTTTTGAAGATTAAAAAAGAAATAAATAAACAGTAAATATCTGGTAATAAAATAAAAAAATTAAAGCACTTATTAAAATATCAGTCTGGTTTAAGATTTTACAAAGAATAAGACTAATTTTAACATCTAGTTAAAATTATAAATTTTAACTACCTGATATTTACTATTAATTTTTATTTTAATTTTAATTTTAAATTAGAATTAATAGACAGTCCATCTGTTATCTGGAGAGAATCTGTAAATTTTATAAGTAAATTTTATTATTGAGTCAAATGTAGAGAGATTACATCTAAAACTTATTTTTTATTAAGTAAATCACTCTTAAACTTATAACAAAGTTGTAGAGCTCATCAAAATGCATCTAATGGTAATAAAAATGTTAAAATTGATCTGATGGTTCTTGAGAAATCTTCAAAAAGCATTTTTTTAACATATAAAATTTCTTTAAAAAATCAATTTTTTTAAAAAAATTTTATATGTTAGTGAAATATTTTTTAAAGATTTCTCAAGAACCACCAGGCCAATTTTAATGTTCTTACTATTAACAAGGTTTTTTAATAAAATATAAAAATTAATAATTTTCATACTCTGCATTATTACCTTATTATTAGTGTTAATAGAAAACTAAATTTACAATTTACTATAAAAATCTTCTCTTAACAATTTATATTATTAATAATTTATACTAAATCCAGAATATTTTGATACTATTGTAAAAATCTAAAATTTCTGCAAAAAATCTATGCAAATCACGGGTCATATAATTATATTGGATGATTTTAATTCATTAGAATCCCTCATTGAGAAGATCACTTTGATAGTTAAATTATTTAAATTGGATCAGTAGATTAAAAGTTGTGAATTTTTAAAATTTATATATAATTCTATATAAAAATTTAAAATTAAAATTAAAAAAGATTTAAATAAAATATATTTTATTTATTTTTATTATTTAATTTTATAATATATGCAATCCAAAAGCTTATTCTTAAATAGCAATAAATAGATAAAATTATAAACTTTTTTAACCAGTAATATTTAATGTAATGTATCAAAAGTGATGAAATTACCATAATTCTGATTGATTACGGCACGGTTCCCCGAATGTTATTTCCCTGATTGGACATCACTCGGCGTGACAATTTGTTAAAAATAAATACCTGCAACTAATCGAACGCTAAACCTAACCTATGTTATGTCGGGTAAGTGACCTATCGAGAATGTCTTTCGGGAAATTGAGCGACAACCATCTGATACTAACTCTAACTGAAAAGTTACATTTAAAGATGTAATTTGGTGTGAATAACTCTGGCTAATAAATCCAGGGTTATATCTAGATTTAAGTAACTTAATTATCATATCTGAATTTAATAACGATATTCTGGTAAGCCCTTCTAATTGGCGTATAGCTATACACTTTGTGATGCAAATTTTAAATAAAATTGGCATGACATTAATTTCATCAAATCAAGTACATGATCATTTACTTAAGAATATCGGAAGTCTTTTGTCCCTTTCATGAGAATAATTCAGTATAAAATGTCTAAATCATTTCTAGTAAAAGGTGTCTTATTTAATGACCTACATAGAAGCTCATTTAATGGTCTGCATAGAAGAGAGTCATAATCGGTAATATTTACAATTCCGTGATTGCTTTCAGGATTTGTAAAAAGTTGATTTACAAATATAAGCTTATTTTCATTGGTATCAACTGCATCTACTTCTGAACAGAAAATTTTATCTCTTCTGCTCACGTAATTCCATTTAACTTCTTTCTGATGCATATAACTTTCAGGAAAATCGTCTCTTACATAAATAGTGCTTTTTTAAAATAAAAAATATAAGGATATTATAAAATTTATTAAATATAATAATAAACATGAATAGTAAAAATAAATAGTAAAAATAGATGCATAATTACCAAATAGATAATTTTATATGCTTCAAAAATAAATTACTATCTCTATTAATTAATGGTTTGTTGCAATGTTCTGAACCGTAGACAAATAAATATGCAAGATCCTTTGAAATGGAGAAATTTGAGCCAAATACTAATTTTAAATTATAAGGATTTGAATCCGAGTCTGAATGCGTCGTTTTATCTAACATGCATGTTGACAACGTAAATTTTTTAGCACTTGGCCATTCCGATTGGTGAGGGATTTTTTCTGAAGTACATGGACTTATAGCATGTTTTCCACTTTCATATACAACTTGATCTGACAGATTAAGATCAAAGGAATCATCTGGATATCCTATAATAATCCATCCGACTTTAAGTTCTCTAATTCTCTTTTTGGGCTTTTTTTGCTTGGAACGCGTTGTATAACGATTACTGGTGCGTCTGGAGCGTCATAAGCCACACATGACGAAAATATATGTCGATTGCGTTCTTTCATTATAGTGGAAAATATTTCACAATCTTTAATATTAGAAATGTCATCTAATTTCTGTCCTATATGATGTCCATATGGCTCCTTTTTAAATGTAGGATAACTAATTTTATCAATTCCGTCTTTTTAAAAAGGGATTATATATCAAGATCAACAAAATGTTAGGAAATGATCATTTAAACATTAATAAAAAGAAATCATATACCTTTTAAAATCCTTTTCCCTAAAACTTTTATAACTTCGTTTCGTAAATCACCTTTTAATAGGTCAAAAATCGAATAAACTTTATTATGTTCAATAATATCCCAAGTATCAGAATCATTAAGCGAATTAATCCAATAATCTGGCTGAGATTCATTTTTATTACCACCTTTTATTTCACGAGTGGAACTGAATTTGCCTTTTGATGACTTGATATTGTTCGTTGTATTTGAAGATTCACCTAAGTTGATTTCATTGTTAAATAATTCTTGAATATTATTGCTAAATGATGCTTGATTGTTTATTTCTTCGGCATGTTTATGCTCGTCTTTGAATAATAAAATTTAATGAAATTAATTGTAACAAAATTTAATTCTGCACAATGAAGAATAAAATAATTCCTATTTGTTCAAAATTTTCGATTTTGCTAATCATAACTCCTCCGAAAGAAATAGATCGTGCATAAAAATGGCCATAATTATTTGCTATTTCTTTAAGCTTTGCTATTTTCATACTACGAGTATTTTCTTTCAACGCCGCTTCAATTTCATTATTAAACCCATCAGTTAAAACAATATTACTTTTATCTAGGTCTATTGTTGCATGCCTTATTTTAATATATTCATATTTTGTGCCTTTTTTATTGGATTTCAACTTATCACGTGATCGCTTTTGATCAAGTCCAAAGGAAATTGAAATAAATGGCAATATAAAGCTAACTTTTCCAAATGTGATAAAATTTTTACTGCATAGTTCATCAAATTCACTCTTGCATTCAAATAGGGACTCTATATAGTCATAATCAAAATATGGTTGTGCTGTTGCCTTAATAGTAAATGCACGATATTTAGGAGATTGAATTTGCTTCACAAACAATGAATCTTTGTCTATAATAAAACCATAACCGCATTTATTATTTAGTTTTGCCCAATCAGGATTATCTATTTTACGAATATTTAATACATTTGAGCCATATTCATTAATATGCAAAATTTCATAAAGCTTTTTCCTTATTTCGTCTGGTTTTGAGATTAAGTCCATATTCTGGTCAGAAAATCGATAATTTGATTTCATACGTTCAGGATCAATAACTGGGTTGTTTGAAAGAATAGATCGAATTTCAGAAAGATCCATTTTTTTATCTAAAAGGCGGTTAAAACTATGATGATGCGACATGTCATGATAAATGCGAATACTGACATCGGATTCTTTCAAAATAGAAATGTATAATGTATCATTTTTAAGAAATTTTTCTAAATTATTCGACTCTTCTTCGTCGGTCTCAATTATACGTCCATTCTGCTTCCTAAATAAAAATTCGTTTTCGATGAAGGTTTTCATGGTTCTGCGGACTTTTGTAAAATTGTGTTTTGGATTTAAGTAGTGTGTCCTTTCTAAACCATCAATATTAACATTAATACTCATGAACAAAAATTTTACATGGATTATAGAGTTTTCGTCGCTAAGTTTTCCTAAATTATAATCATCTTCACATTCATAGGTTATTAATGTTCTATCTTTATCAACAAATTGAAGACTTTCCGCACCTGGATAGTCTTTATGTAGTGCTAACTTCTCTCGCACATCTTGAAGTTTTATGCTTGATTTAAACTTCAAAGTAAATGCATCTTCGTTTTCAAATTTGAACTTAAATATCGTTTCTTTTTCTTCTTTTTCTTTTCTTATGGGTAAAAATTTATCAAACATCCTATCAAATATTTTGAATGCTAAATTCTGGTCTTCAAGTTAAATAATTTTTCGTAATTGCAAAAATTTATTAATAGTAATTGCTTTATGTTATTTACGTATCACGTCGCGTGATAAACAAAGTAATGAACATCCCAATAATAAAAATAAAATATTACTGACGGTATGTTGTAGTGTGCTTATATATTAGATAATGGCATTTGCAATTAATACGTTTTACGCCCTAAAATATATGTCTTCTGATCATTGGTCTAAGTCCTACGTACAAATTGTCAAAGAACGTTTCTATAATACCTTAAACATATGTGAGACGAACTTTGTGTAGTATAACTTTAGAGTCACGTTACACATAACATTAAAGTTTCAAATCATAGCCGTTGTATTGTGGTACGTACGTACGTTCAGTACATATAAAAATCCAATCAACAATAACGATAATAAAAAATTACTAATACGTATTGTTGATATGGATTTGATTTGAGACCTGCCAAGGTAAAACCTGTAATTCTTGATTTTCGGAAATTTCACTTTTAAAAACAGACAAAATTAGATAATATATGCCGTTGCTGAAAATGAAATTTCGGAAAACTAACAATTACAGGTTTTACCAGCATAGCGGACAAACCCAAATTTGGTAATGATCTTCGTAATTGAATAAAAAAATTTTTTTCAACTTTTTATATACGTTAAAGTACTTTTTATTCTCGTGATTTTTCGAAAACTTACCAATTAAATACATTTAAAAAAAAGGTAACAGAAAAAACTTTTGAATACCTATATTCTATTAAAATTAATCCAAAATAA